TGACAAGCCAACATTATAAACATGGTCCCTTCTGGTTCACCTGGTCTAAGCCTCTCACACTCATATATTGCCAGGAATACCCCTCTAATAAGCTTCGTGCATGTGAATTGCTGCCATGTTACCCATATATACATATACTGTGTTCCATGTCATTGATTTGTCTCCCTAATGGTTCTGCACACCCAGAGTAGGGAAAAACCATAGCTTTAGCCCCTTTGTAAGCCTAGCACCTTGCACAGTGCTTGGCGTATAATGAGAGCTTAAAAGATATATGTTGATGGTAATGAGATTTTCACTCTCAAATTGTTTTCTGAAATTGGCAGGTTTAAAATACTATATCAAACAGTGATCAATACTCAGTATATTCTAGGCCAAATTGGCAGAATAAATGTGTATAAATCATGAAGATCAGAAAGCATCTCCTAGAGAATTTGGAAGTTACTCAAGGGTGAAATAGGGGAATTGATGACCAAAATGTATAATCCATTGCTTGAATTGACCTCTGTGCGAGAAAACTCCTGGGTAACAAATACAAGTTCTTCATGTTAAGGCAGATTCCAGAAAGCTACAGGAAATCACAGACCATCAGGAGTGCACAGGCCAAAAGCAGCTATAATAAAAGACTATATGTTTTGTCTGTTTGGGGAGAGGTGACATAATTTTAATAAGAGAAAACTACAAGTTGAATATTAATAAAATAAAGAATATTCACAGATGATAGGCTAGAGAGGGGGGCTTGCCGTCAGCCATGTGATGAGCAGCTGAGGATGTGGGGACATTGAATTAGTGCAGAAAAACCTCACTGACAGTGTGGGAATTGTGCTCATGAAGGAAACGGCTCAACACTTGTGGTTATTCATGGATATAACAGGGACAGTACATATTTCTTCTGGCATATCTTTCAAAATGACTGTTAATGGGACCTGGTCTGAGAGGACATAATTAAGAGGTTCCTTTGTTCCAAACAAATTTACCCACTTTACCAAGCATTGGCTCACATTGCTGCCCAGAGTTGGAGTTTTAATATTTGTGTTGATTTGGCATGTCTGCACACCAATCAGGAAGAGAGGCTTTGGAGCTGCTAGGATTCTGAACACTGTTGGTGGGTTTGTCCCTGATACATCTTCATGCCTGATTATTTAGTGAAGCGAGGGACTCTGGCTTGTGCGTTAATCATGATGCATCACTACATGGCTGCCTAGTGGCCTCATTCATGAGCGTTCCATTCAGTGTCAGATCAGAAACTCTCCAAATTGGATTTTTAGGGCATGCTACCAATCATTGGGAAGGTATCCCTTTCGAATTCTTTTTCTGAAGTAAACCTTGTAAAATACAAAAAATCTCTTCTGTATTGGTGAATGGATTGTCCCATCCACAGCATGTGCTATATATTATTTGGTAAATCAATTTTAAAGAGCACTACAAACTACATATTATCTAAAATTTGAGCATCCAAAAAAGACCAGGTGAAAGTAAGTATTCAAGAGACGCTCTGCATCACTGGACAGGTGTGGTGGCTCAATCCTGTAATCCTGAGGTCATGATGGGAGGATCATTTGGGCTTATGAATTGAAGACCAGCCTGGGCAACATAATGAGACCTCATCTCTGCAAATTTTTTTTCCTTAATTTAAAAAGAATTAGCCAGACATGGTGGTGAATGCTTGTAGTCCCAGCTCCTTTAAAGGCTGGAGTGGTAGGATCACCTGAGCCCAGGAGTTCAAAACTGCAGTCACCTATAATTGCATCACTGCACTCCAGGCTGGGTAACAGATTGAGATCCTATCTTCAAACATATATATATATAATACACATCCATACATATATATATATATATACTGCCCATTTTCTTTATACACCACCTTTAAGCCAATACTTGATGTTTTAGGTATTAACTTTTTCTGAAAAGTTAAACCAAACAATTTAGACAGTTTCACAAAGAACTTTTGTTTGACTATTGCTCTTTTCTTTGTTCTCAGGCTTAGTTTTGGTGAATCTAGAGTCTTCTAATTTAAAATTAAAGATAAAAAGTAAAAGGAAAAGCTCTCAAGATAATCTCTTTCATCCAACAGGGTAATCTGATGAAAGTACCAATAAATATTAGCCACAAGGCAAATTTCACAAATTTCTGTGAAGTGTTTGTAAAACACCCTGAAAGCTGAGATGGTTTCAGAGTTTCAGCACTATTTACAACATATTCAAATACAAATGGGTATTATTGGTACCTTCACACTTTTATATTTAGCAACATGTGAATTAAATAATAAGGCTTAATATTATTCTTAAAGAGTTGGCTTGACTAAATTAACATTTGAGGTGAGAAAAGTAAATCTATTTTGTGAAAAAAAAATCAGCGTACTAAAAGAGCAATAGAAGCTTCAATTTTGCAACCAAATATATTTAGGAATAAATCATAGTTGCGAAACATGTGGCCACGAGTTTCTGGTTGTGTGAACTTGGATTGGGCTCAAAGACTGAATTCTTAGGATTCAGTCTGCCATAACTCACAAGAGCCTCATGCCTCTTGTTCACAGAGATGTTAACATTGAATCACCTGTTTATAGAATGACAGTTTTTAATATACATAGAGAATTACATTTGCTTACATATGGTGTGTAATGGGTGCTTAGCAACTGTTAGTTTTCCTAGTATTAAGTAAGGGGACACCTATTTTTCCAGGGAAGAGCCTAGTTGTTGCACATGACCTATCACGGTATTTTTGCCTAATGCCATGTATTTTACTCCTTAAGTTGGAAGGTATTGTAATGGTCCCTCCTCAAATCCCTTCTCCCTGCATTTGGTTAATCAAAGGATGCTCCTGAAGGTGCCTCTCTTCTAAGTGTCCTGCAGCCACTGCAGCCATCTCTAGGGAAGTTGTTGCTGGAATTTCCTTCCTCACTGTTCATGGAGGGCCCAGCCATTCCTCCTCTGTCCATCCAGCATCTTGTACCTGCCCTACCATGTCAAGGTTGTTTGGGATGCAAGGTAGGGGATGGGGAAGGTCTCCTGCCACCACCCTTCAATTCAGGGATCCCTAGTAATTCTGCAGTTCTGTTAATAACCACCCCAAAATTAGTTCCTGCCATGTGTTTAGTGATATTGGGCACAGGGGCTAAATGGACATGTAAAGAAATCCCTGCCTTTAAGGGGCTTGGAATCATTTGAAAACAGATAAACTGACAAGGGCAAGGAAGTGAAAGAGACCTTGTGTACACTGCTCATGAGCTCAGAGAAGCTGTCATCCTTTGAAATACATCCCAACCTGGGGACTAAGCTGCAAGCAGGTTATTTGGTTCTAAAGAGAGTAAAACCCATGATTAAAATAAATTAGGCACAATAACTCAAAGCTGCAATTCAATCTAAAAACAACCAGTCCCGATGAAAACTACAAGAGAAAACAAAAAATCTCACATCGATATGTTTCTCTAAAGTCAACATAAAAACCTTAAAATTGTTCCTCAAAATGGAAGGTGCACTTATTTTTTATCTCAAACTAAAAGTCAAACAAAATGAAAACCTGTAATCATTTATGGGGATGTCAAAATTGAGAAAAAGTAAAATAGTCCCCAGAAGACATTTATTTTCTTTTTCTGCTTTTATTTTAGTCTCAAGGGGTACATGGGCAGGCTTGTTACACGGGTAAATTTCATGTCCCTGGGGTTTAGTGTACAAATGATTTCATCACCCAGGTTTTGAACATAGTACCAAATAGGTAGATTTTGGGCTCTCACCCTCCTCTCAGTCTCTCCCTTCAAGTAGGCATTGGGGTCTGTCCATTTCCCCCTCTTTGTTTCCATGTATACTCAATGTTCAGACTATTTTTTTAAAATGAAGAAAACTTATGCCCTTTATAAATATTAGAACCTAATATTATAAGTGACCCAGAATAAAGATGACAGTAATAATATTCTTAGGATTCAGTCTGCCATAACTAATCTTAATCCTCCGTTTATGACTATTTTCAATTACAAACGCATGTGATAGGTAGGAATTAACAAATGACAGTGAATATATAAAATAGAAGTTGTTCCATTTTTGGCAGTGAGATGGGGCCAGCACGGGAATGTGAATGTGCAGACAACACTAACTGGCATTGATTTAAGCAGAGAGAGGCTGAGAAGGAAAGAATATGCTATTAATTTCCAAATGTTCATATTTTACGCACGTTTGGATTAAAAAATGGTGACTTATTTTCTGAACTAAAAGTAATATAAACTTACAACTTATTTTATTCAGTGCCTGAGGTTCTGAAGCTACTTCCAGGTGACTTTTGCTATCTGCTTTGCCTCCACCTTTTCCTCCATTAATAATTTGCTGACAGCCTTTCATCCACACAGTGAGGTCAAGAGTCTGGGGCTGGGATTGGGGAGGAAAGTTCGGTTTTGTAACTTGGACCAAACTGTCCTTCACTCTGAAGCTGAAGATTGTTTCCAATGGCAGAATAATTCTAAATTTTCTATTTGTTTTGTAGTTTCAGTTTTTAATTATGTGCGAACCTAGGATAGAGACTCTTTAGAGGTTTTAAAGTCAGAGCAGACTTTAAAGATTCCCAAGTCATGATTCACACATAGGGCAACATTAATCAAGTGATGCTATTGAGCTGGTTGTGTTGTTGCAAAATAGGTGAAGGCCTGGGATAGAGAAACTATTAAATAAGTCAAACAGGAAATCAGTATAATCACATTCATAATCACACTTTGTTGGTACATTTATCTGTTTTTAAAATAATTTTATAGATGAAGAAAGTGAGGCTCAGTCACTGAATTATCCAGTTTATGACAAAAACGGGACCATACTAAAGTATTTGCAGCAGGCATCCTAATTTTCCTAGGAACTGGAGCCATGCTGGGCATGAGCCTTACAATTGTCTAATTATTTCTAATGGGCACGCAACAGTTATTAAACTACCAACAGTCTGGATATTGGAAAATGATGGAAACATACTCTAGTTACCATTAGCACATCTCAGTTTTATTCATTGGAAGGGAAAAGATGTCCTACCCAGATGCTGTCTTCTTGTTTGTACTGTTTCCAGTTGCGTCCTGTGTCACTGAACATCAGGCTGTAACTCGTCACCCAGTCAGAGCTTCCGTATCTTCCCTGCGTGGCCACTGCTGTAATCTCTACTCTGTTTCCCAGGTCCATCTGGAGCCACTGTTGAGCATTGGAATCTGCTGGGGACCAACCGCCAGTTCCTGGAACAGGATCAGAGAGAGAGAAAGAGAGAGAAAGAGAGAGAGAGAGTTGTAGCAATGTCTCTCATAGCTACAATTTTCAACTATCAAAGAGAAATGAAACAGTGTTCAACTAAGATGAGTGTACCCCCAAATGGGCCCTACTCTTCCCTGCCTCTGTACTTAACCCCCTGATACTTTCCATTCTCCTCCTCCATCAAAATCTCTATCATAGATTAAAGACTTATTTCAAAAGCTGTATCATCCATGCTTCTGTGTCTGTTTCCTTAGTCATTATGACTTCTATTTTACAAACACCTAGTGAAATTTGTTTTATTTATTTCTCTTCTTACAACTTCAGCTTTGATTGCAGATATGTGGGAACTAGCCTTACGTGCGCTCTCTCTGATTATTATATTCTTCCTTTCTTCTCTTCCTTGTTTTAGTGTTCTTTCATTGCCTTCTCTCTCCTCTACTCTGAATATTTATTATGAACCTACCATGGACAAGATATTGTACTACAGATACAAAGATGAAAGGACACTGACTATGCCTTTGAAGAATATCAGTCATTTATTCAGTAGATGTTTGTTGAGCACCAGGAGCATGCTGGGTGCTGAAGAGAGATAGAGATACTGACAAAAACATTTAATGTGATATGAAAGAAACCCTCACAAGAGGTAAACAGCAGGTGCACAGAGCACAGAATGCCTCAGGAGCTGATCAGAGAGGTCTTCTAGAGACAGCAATAGTAGAGCTGAAACCTGAGGTAAGTGCGGCCATATCCCAGGAAAAAAATGGGGAATGTTGGATGGAGATCAGTCAGGGAAGAGGGCATGACATACACCAAATCTCAGAGGCAGGACAGAGTCTCTAACATTCCTGGATCCTCGTGGGGTTCAGTATACCTGACACGCAGGGACATTCTGACACACATACAAAAACTGTTTTTGGCCCTAGAGTTTTGTATTGGTCACATCTGAAGTTTCCAGAAGATCAGTATTAGTTCTCTCTTAGTTGGAAGACTTGTAGCCTAAATTTTCTGTTTTCATTTTACATAGGAATAAAAAAGACAATATTCACTTCTACTGATCTCAGATCTCACAAATCTTCTGCAGCCCGAGTGGGAGCTATTCCAGACTGTCTTATGCCATGGGTAGGGATAGCATGGAAGCAACTCAGGACGTCAGGTAGGGAGAGGTAATTGAATTTTTAGTTTAGGAGACTTAATCAATAACCTTTTCCTTTCAACCTATGTCATTGAAAACCATTTTAGCGATGTCTCAGTACACTTTCTCACCACCTTGGAAGGAGTCATTTGGACATCTCCTTGGTAACTGAGAGCTTTCCCGAGCCCCTGCTCCCCATGCAGAGTGTCTCATAACGCAGGACTGCAATGCAGAGTGATAGAGGGCATAGATACAATTCTATTCTATCTTTAAGGACAGTATAACAGAAGACTTTAAGGTACATCTTAAAAATTGTGGTTGATTTTCTTCAGTAAACAGCCAGTCCTTAGCAGCTTTTGTTTGAGAAAATTTTTTTTTTGTTTTTTTTCCTCACCCTTTCTGAGAAGACTCAAATGCAGGAAAGAAGGGGAAGAGAATGTGCTCAGCATTTACTGTGGAATGTGTTTTATTAAGAGTTTTGTATGCATACAGTGGCAGATGTAACAGATATTAACCAATACCCATTCTCTCTTCCTTCTGTGGTAATAGAATTGCAGAGGGTGCATGGCTTCATGGCAGTTTTCAGCTTTCCATAATTTTATATTTATGGCCACATATAAACTTCTCTCCAATAAGAATGTGAATGGGAATAAGATGTGCTACTTCCAGGCTAGCATCCCCCTTCTCCACTTGCTTTCTTCTTCCACCACTGATGGATGCAGCTGACAACAAGATCTAGATGATGGCAGAATCACAGCATGGAAAGATCCTGGATCCCTGCATCATCACATGGAGGAAAGCAATTGCCTACTTGAACACATTCACCTAATAGATCAATGAGAGCTAACTACCTATTGTGCTTAAGTCATTGATCATTGAACTCTATCTGACACTGCAATTTTGCCTATTTGAATAAATATACAATATCCTTTTAAGTAAATAGCATTATCTCCATCATAAAGTTGAGGAAACTGAAATCCAGCAATTTAGAAAATTTGGCATCCAGGATTAAAACATAGGGTAAATCCAGCTATTTGCAATCATTCCTCAACAGAAAAAAAGTTTATTAAACTTTAGAAAATTAGTAAGGAGGAAAATCACTGGAAGTGGGTATCTGAGCAGAGATTCTGAGGTGCCAGATCCAGGAGTACCATTTATCATTCAACTCTGTCTTCCTCAACATGTTCACAATTCCGAATGCCCTCTGCCTTTCTCTAGCTTCTCAAAACTGACAGAGAGGCTTATAGAGAGGAAGATTTTACATTTCCAAAAATCCAAAATTATTCTAAACCTATTTTTCAATTTCTAGTGAATGTCTTCTGCTGCCCAGTTCATGAGGCTGCATTCTTTCTAGGTAAAAAAATAAAAATAAAGAAGTTGTTGAAATGATATTCTCTCAAAAATATTAAAACATGTTAGAAAATTAATTTATATGGTAATTTTGTCTCAGTGGTTAATGTATAGTGATTTTATACTTTTCTGATTTTTACATATGACATAACTTACGTTATCAACATGTTCTATTATAAGCTGAGAATCTTATTGCTCATATGTGATTTATTGCATAAAGAATGTGTACAGCAATTTGGGAGCTGATGGTGTAATATAGAACTTTTGATGTTTCTGTGACCATCACTAATTTTAAAATGAAAAATTTTAGACCTCAACTATTTACCTTTTACCCTCAATACAACTAGACCTCCTCATCATGCTTTAAAGTCTTTTCTTCATCTACTATAATTAGCATATGATAAGAACTTACATGATGAATGAAAGCAAGGAACTAAAATGTTTTGCAAATTACAGAATAACAAAAGACTCATCGAAACTAAGCCAAACCAAAACAAACAAAAACAAAATAAATAGAGAATAATTTAGCATTGAAATGATTTCTGCAAATTTGTCTAAAGAAAATCACATCCCCCTTTTGCCCACAGTAAAAAAACTTAGCTTATGAATCTCCCCCAAATTAACCAAAATGGAATAGTTGTTGCTAGCATTCATTAACACATCACGTTAAAATTTTTCTGAGTCCAAGAGCTTCAGCCAAAGCTCTTAAAATGGAGGGATGCTATCTGGGTGATAATTGCTGAGGACTCTTTCCTGCTGTTGAAGATGCTCCCCGCATTACAGCTAATAGGGAAGACACCCAGGGTTGCAATGGTTGCTATGGCAAACATTTTGTTCTTTCCACCAACAATAAATGTGTTTTCACAAATGATGAGAGTAGCCTGAAGAAACTATTTGTAGTTGCTGTAAAGACATATAGCACTCACCCTAGCTTTCTGTTTCGGAATTATTCTGTAAATTGGGGGTACAACGTATACACAAATAAGTGCATTTGGCAAGTTGAAGGCGTTAACTAAGGCAGTGCTGTCTGTAATTTTGGCTGATGTATCAAAGGCTATTAACTACAAAAAGATCCTATAAACTCTGCTGTTTAAATTTAAAGGGTATTTAACGGAAGTTTACATTTAAAGGGAAAACTTGCATTTAAAGAAAAAATAATCTCACATTAGAGAGCATCTGGAATTGTTGAAGTGTTTGACAAACACAGGATCCAAAATAATTTGGAGGTGATGTCTTAGCTATTTCTAGCATACACCAACCCTCATACTCCACAGACTGTATTACTTGACTTTGGAGAAAAAGATGGAACAAACAGATGCTGGACCAAAATTCAGGAGATCTGGTTCAAGACCCAGTTTTCCTCCTCATGTGAGACTAGATGAGAGGTTCTCAAATGAGCTCCATCATGCAAACAGACTAGCTGGCAGCATTCCCAAGACCATAAACTAGGAAAGAGTAATGCAGGAGCTCTAGACCCAGGAAACCTGGATCCAGCACCCAAGGTCTTCCGTGGGCTACAAGTGACCCTCAAGTGCACCAACAAATCCCTCCAGTCCTTGTCCTCCTGCTTCTTCACAAGAGCAATTCTCACTAGAAACATAATTCACCTTGACATTGTTTCCAGTATCTCAGTTGATTCTCATGGAAATTAGCAATAGTATTTATTTATTGTTTTTCATTTTTTCAAACCCTCAATGGGCCAAGCAGCAAACCCAAGTGTATGGCTAAAGACTGCAATCCAATCCAGTTTTAATTTCAATAGTAACCAACACCTTAAGCAAGCAAGAATAGTCTTGTATGGAGAATTCTAAGCAACGTTTTAAGAAAGAAAAAAACAGATCTCCTGCCTCTCGGTCACTCTGTGCTCAGTTCTGTATACCAGGGCACATTGCTAATGCTGAGGTCGAGACTGCACACACTGGGGTAGGCTGTAAGCCTGAAGCAGAATAACCAGCAGAAAATGCAGAGATTCCTCACTTTCTACACTTATATCCACTTCTAACTCCAAAAGGGGAATAATAATTGATTGATGTCATACATTGGAAATTGGCACATAACAGATTATATACAGGTCTCTGCAAAAGGATAGTTCACAACTGTCTTTCAAAAAAAGAGAATACATTTAGTCCAGGATCAATTGGAGCTAAAAGTGCCATACAAACACATCGCATTTTCACACCTAATCTTTTGTTGTTGTTTTTTAACATGGAGTCTTGCTCTTGTGGCCTGGCCTGGAGTTCAGTGATGCGATTTTGACTCACTGCAACCTCCACCTCCTGGGTTTAAGGGATTCATCTGCCTCAGCCTCCTGAGTAGCCAGGATTGTGGGCACCCGCCACCACGCCCAGCTAATTTTTATATTTTAAATAGAGACAGGGTTTCACCATGTTGGCTAAGCTGGTCTCGAACTACTGACCTCAGGTGATCCACCTGCCTCAGCCTTTCAAAGTGCTGGGATTGTGAATCACTGTACCCGGCCACACCTAATTTGTTTTAAACACA